AAAATAATTATACAATGTGTTTGAGTTTGCTTCTAACAAGCTTTATCACAAATGTGATATTTACACAAATTTGCAGCATAATTATAATTCAAGAGATAAAAATAATATAGTGTTTTAGTTGCTCTTGTTTCATATGCGTGTATGTTTGTTGTTTTTATTCTTCTTCATAGTCTTATTTATATAGAAATTTGATCCAAGAGATATGTTGGAGACATGTGCGATATTTCTGGAAGGTTGATGATTTGATGTTAATATCCTTTCCAAAAATAAATATCTTGTTTCCAGCCATAATGTTTCAGCTGTTACAATCTGGATCTTGTAATGATTATCATTTCATGTGATGTTGGATTTATAATACATCGGAGTATCTTGAACTTAACTACTGAGTCTTAGCACTTCAGAATAGATGAGTGTGTTAAGACTTCCTTTGTTCTTTCAGAACTCCACTTATTAGAGTATAGGTTGTAGTTTGGAGCTTCATAAGTTTGACTGTCATCATCAAAATTTCTCTTTCTTGCGTGTTGTTTTCGCTTCTCTTGAGAGCTTCTTATATGTTCTTCTTCTTCAGAACTTCATATGTGATTTTTCACGTCATTAACTTTCTTACATTCATCAGAACTTCTTTGTAAATTCAATCAAATGATTAGAGTGCATATTTTTTCTTCATAATAATTATGTATTTGTTATCATCAAAGCTAATTATTGCATGTAGAACCAAACCATGTTCTTATAATTCATAAACTAGATCAAGCGCTTACCACTACGCTAAAAGCAATTGCTTGTAGCCAAGGTGCTAATCTATTTCCTTATAGAGAATCCAGCAAAGGGCCTACCTGGCCCACCTAACACACATGTGTACACATCCATGGGGGATATTAAGCCATTCGAATCCCTAAAATTTGACGCTGGATATTTTAATCCAACAATTCCCCCCCCCCCCCCCCAGTGTCAGCCGAGGGGATTCAAATCCATGACCTTGCTCTAATACCACGTAAACTAGATCAAGCGTTTACCACAACACTAAAAGAAATTTCTTGTAGCCAAGATGCTACTCTATTTCCTTATAGTGAATCCAACAAGGGGCCTACTTGTCCCACCTAACACACCTATGTATGCGCCTATGGGGGATGTTAAGCCCTTCGAGTCCCTAAGTTTGATGCTGGATTATTTAATCTAACATTCTCTACTCTCCGAAGAATGAATAATTTTTATGTTAATAACTTTAATTCCCGCATTTACCTTTTATACAAACTAACCCAATTCAACCCTAAACACATAAACTCGAGAAATTGTCGAACGGAAATTCAGTAGCCCTAATCCTTGTCAAGACGATATGATATAACCTATAAAAATACTTACTTTTGCATGATGCTTTACCGCTTCAACATTAATGCATGCCTTTAGAGTTGTCTATTTAGTATTTTTATTTTTCTTATTAGTTATAATTTCTTGCATTTTAGTGTTTTTAGTTGTTTTAGCTTGGAGCACAATAGGTACTCCCTATTTATCATTTACTTGTGTTTGTGTGTTAGCAAAGGTTGGCAGGGTCAAGTTGAGGCAACACTGCAATGGTCTTCTGCATGGAGCACTAGGTGAAAGAAAACAGGGGAGCTTAGAAAAAAGGGAATCAATAACAGAAGCTTCTAGATAATGTGGATAGCATGAAGGAAGATCCAATTGGAGGGAAAACTTGGTGGTACTGAAAAAGAGGAGAAAAAACTATTCAAATTTAAAGAAGAGAGTGTTGGCGCTAGAAGACAAAATCGGGTACAAAATTACATTGTAAATGGAAGAGCGTGCCGCCTGCACCTGCTATAGAATTCTACCACAATATATATTGTCTCCCACCATTGTCTCCCTGTATGAAGATTCCTTGTTAGATGTGTTGCTAAAGGGTGTGTTGGAGATAATTCTATGTGGGCTTGATTTGATTTCTTGAACAAAAGCCTATGATCCAATGCAACATACAAACCCTAATCCTTGGTCTATAAATAGAGCTAAGATGAAGATCAAAAGGGAGTTTATCATTTCCAAGATGAAAATTACAAGAGTTTGAGTGAGTGGACAGTGGAAGGGTGAGAAGGTCTTTTTTCCTCATACAATATTGTATCAGCTAATGAGCAGTGGCGCGACTGGAGTCAACTCTTGAAGATTAATCATCTCAAGTCTTCCTCTAAGTTTCTCCTAGGTTTATATATTTTGTTCATTTATTGTCTTAAGATGTTTCCTTTGAGAATCATATTTTTAGCTTGTGTTCAACTCACTATGAGCTAAACCTTTTGTAGTTGAGCTATGTGAAACTAATATTAAGTTGTTTTTATGTTATATGTTGTGTGACTAGTGTTTTCTTTACCATGTGTTTGTCTTGTTAAAAACTTGTTTCTTTGAATGATCAAATTAAAATTAGGTAACAACTTAATGTTGTAAGAGATCCAACAACAAGTGTACTTCATGAGTAAAAGTGGTTGAAGGAGTAGGATAGAGATATTCACTTGACCTAGTTTACTTAGAGATAAGAAACTGCAACCATTAAAGAATTCAGAATAATTAAGACGTATATTAGTGTTAAAAGTGAGGCTTGAGATTTGTTCCCTTGCCCTCTTATACACGCTCTGGATGTTGTATAAATACACTAAAAGGTCACTCTGACCTTACATGTCACGACACCACACATCATTAGCACATAACTACAATTAACATATTAATGGATCAAATCTCAACTCAATCCCTCTTAATATATTTCCACCACTTATCATCTTACTTTTGACATCTATTTTAAGTAAACTTGAACTCATAATCAACAATCATTATTTCTCTTTTCTCATGCTTAAATAAAAAGAATATTTTTCATAAAAAGATCAAATCTAAGTAACAATACTCCCTGTGGGTACGATACTCTTATATTTATTACTTGCTGAAATCAAAACATGTATACTTGCATGTGACACTAAAGAGGACGATAAGTTTTTAGCGCCGTTGTCGGGGAGTGAATTAATTACATTTCCTATTTTTTTTTTTGTATTCACTATTGTTGTTTATGTTTTTAGAATTTTAGCCTTTAACATTTCTCTGTAATCTGGTGTCACGACTGTTGCACCCCAAAATTTTCCTCTTCTTTTTTAACCTAATTGGCTTATGTTTCATTATCATACCCATTCATGCATTGATATGTAATCAAGGTGTTCTTGTCTTCATGGTTCTCTTTAAAGCAATAAAAGATGATTGAATTGTAAATCAATGCAAGGAGGATCCAATATCATCATTTTTATGATTACTCAAACTATAAAGGCTTTCCATGCCTCAGGATATCACATTTTGTCCACTGCTTCATCAGATGATTGAAGATTGCAAGAGTTTTAAAGTGAACCACATTTCTCCTATCCATTGGTTCTCATGCTAGGGTTTTGAATATTGGAATGTGTGGCTCATTCATTAATAAAATATTTGAAGCATTATCATCTTATCATCATCTAAGACATTTTTTCTCAAGATATTCCCCAAGTTTCCCATAGGAATTAGGGTTTTGAGATTGTGCAATCATCTTCTATCATTTTGAATGAAAACTAGGGTTTTGGTCAAAGTCAGTTTATCATTGACTTTTTGAGCAAAACTTCGTTTCATGGTATTCTACATGTTCCTAGGCATCTATGGATGGAAGATTGACTCTTAATTTGGTTCAGAAGAAGCTTAATTGCTTAGATGATTGCAAATCATTTAAATTGTGAGAAAAGTCAATTGTGCAACCTTAAAGTCAAATCTTGACTTTTTATTGTCAACATTGTGTTCTAGAAGTCCAAAGTGATCTATGGTTGAAATTTGGTTAAGGAAAGTCAAGAGAATCATCAAGAATCAAGAAGTGTGCAAACTTTCCCTAAATTGAGAATAAGGGTTGTTTAGAACTTACTATTTTTGGTAAGTTCTCATACAATTTTAGTTAACTTCATGTCCAGATTTCTCCATGATTAAGGCTTCAATTCTTTGTTTATTCAACATGGAGATTGTTCCTTTTTCTCATATCTTTCCAACCATATAAAATTCATCTCATCTGTGTCATTATTGTGAAAGATATAATTGATAAAATAGGGCATTTCAATTGTTAAAATTTCATCACTTAGTGATTTTTTCGCTAAGTCCTTTGATCAACTCAAAATGGCAATTTTCATGCACACTTTTGAGTGACTTCTTATCCTCGTCTTAAAAACTTGTCAACGACAATTTTACTCCTCATAATCTAAGCTTTCCAAGTTGACCAAGTTTGCTTCATTTGGTTAGAATTGATAGAGAAATTGTGAAATGGTTGGGGAAGATTGGAAGCTTCACACTTGCAGCCAGTTTTGGTCATTTGATGACTTTGAGCAAGCAAGTGAGAATTTGCTGCAGCATTTCCGAGCATATCCCATTCACACGCCTTTCATCCTAATTCTTTACCCGTAATGGCCAAACAATGCATGTACAAGCCATGCATATGAAATGGCATATTTGCCAAAGTGGGCAAGTTTGCAAATTCTCTCAAATAGCCTCTCCACATGCTCAGTGCCAGATCATCAGCCTCACACTCTTCTTATTATCTCATTTTCATATTAAAACGCGGGAGAATGGTCCCATAAACAAGGAAAAACGCACATACTTCACACTTTCTTCATTTTTGACAAAAATGCCAAACCTGCCCTCCAATCAGGTTTTTTACCAGAGTTAGCTCTCAACTTGACTCAAGGCACACTATATAACTCTATCATCACCTCACAATCAGGGGACACACATTGGAGGAATAAAAAAGTAGATCTGAAGCGTCATTCACTCTCTCTCAAAGTTATCACCAGGTTTTCTTTTTTCCTCAAGTAAGCTTGATTCTCTCACTTGTTTTGAGCTCTCTGAAGATTATCATTCAATTGTCTTTGGGTTTCTTAAGCTAAAAAGTTGAAAGAAGTAGTGGACGAATCATCCACTTGGTAAGTTCCTTGATTCTTTCTCTCACTCTCTCATCCTTAGATCTAAATGCTTTAGGACTTCATGAACACGATCATACACATATAGTTGGCCCATACATTAGGTATGAAGTGGATTTTGTGTGAAAAATGAGTTTGCGTGCATCTCTGAAAATTTTGTGAAACATGTGAATCTGTGACTTTCATGTCCATTTTCTGTGTGATGGCTTGACCATTTGAGGAAATTAAAGATGCTATGTTATTTCTTGTTAAGAGTACTACAACTTTGATGTATAGATTTGGGATTTTCATTGAGAAACAGATAAGATATGGTGATCTGAACATGATAACACGGACACAGGAAGAGACTAGGGTGTTGGCATAGCGAGAGGTTGAAGATGATCCTTGATTGGTCATTCTTCGCCTCTGACCGTTTGACGGGTCCCACAGTGTCCGCGTGGCATTCTTTTATATCTTTTCTTTTATTTTGTTTTCTCTTATTTTCATTTTGTTTCTTGATTTTATTTTCATACTCTTAATGATTCAATAATGAAACAAAAAATATGTGGAGTTATCTTATTGAGTCTATATTCATATTATGATTTTTATTTAATTTTTGGAAATTTTGTGATACATTAATTAATTTATTTGATTAAATGTGTCGTTTCTTTGAAAACCTTTGTTTACTTTATATTTTAATTTTATTTTTGATGATTTATTAATCCAAAAATTATACAAAAATATGTTTCACGTTCCTTGATGTTTTAATTAATTTTCTGTGATCCTAAACCAAATTTATTGATAATTTTTCTTTGATTTGAGAATTTATAAAATTAATTATCCATTCTTGTGGTTTTGATTGCTCATGCTTGAAGGTTGAATTAATTATCCACTTTCCTCTTTTTATAAAAATCAAAACAGAATTTTTTGGGGTTCTTGGACATGTTAGCATCATGGAAATAAATTTTAATTAATTTTATTTTTTGATTTCCTAATTTTCATAAAATGTTTGGATTAAGGTGTCTAGTTTAATGATTTCCTCAACTAGTCTTGACAACTGACCTTCACTTTTATTTTTCTTCCAAATTTCAAGAACCTTAATTGATATTTTCGACTTTGATTAGACTTGAGGATATTGGATTAATTTTTGTTTGATGTTTAAATCTTGGTTCCTATTTTTGTTTGAATTATCTTGTGACTGTGTACCATTGCTCTTGTTCAATCTTGTTGAGTTTCATTTGGCAACTTATAAACTTATTTAGAGGCCAATTGTTTGGACACATGATTAGCATATTTTTACCTTAATATCACATCAACTTTGATTAATTTTTTTGATCATTTGTTTATTTGTTGATGATTATTTTCTTAAAGCCTTTGATTGGCCAAATTTAGAAAGCCTAATTGCATTATGTTTGTGATTTTGGTTTGATCTTGTGGATTCCTTTTAATCCAATTACCATAGCTTGAAGGATGAAATGTTCAAGGATATTTCTTCCATAACTTGAGAATAATTTTATTTCAATTGGTCCTTCTCCCCTTCTTTACTTTCATTTGGTCATACTTTTGCTTATTTTGTTTGGTGCTTGAGACCTGGGGAATGTACTTTTTGCAACCCATAAGGAACCAAGTTCCTCTCTCTTTCTCTTATTCTCACCACATGACAAGATAATTGAGTTCATCCTCATGAACCATTTAAGTGATCTATTATTACCTCTTTGCTTCTAAGTTTTAAAGTCTTTTGTTCATCCTTTGTGATCATGATTTAGGAGATTGTTTGGTGCATTTTCACTTGAGTATCATTGATCCAAAAATGATTGAATTTTCTTCTATATGCTTCTGACCTCTAAGTTCTTAGTGCTTTAATGCATATCTCTTATGATTCTTTGAATTTTATTCATTTGCAAGTTCATCTTGATGACTTTATAAGAGCAACATTTTTTTCTTCTTGACTTAGTTTTGACTTGTGAATTGGTGAGGCTATTAGAGGCTTATGTTCCAAATTGGGCTGCTTAATCATTGATCATATATATTCTTATCGCATCTCATCTCTTATGTTTCTATGATCCTTTGATTGTGTATTCACTTGTCAATCATAATGGTGACTCTTAAGCAGCTACATTCTCTTTTTTTTACTTGAGCTTTGGAACTTATTGCTTGGTGATGTTTTCTATGCATTAAACTAAGTCCTTGTTGGTGATACTTGGTGTTTTCTACTTCCCATAACACTTAAGCAAATCAACATTTTCTTACTTTCATAAGTAATTAGTTCATTGTGCTTGTTTCATCTTGTCTGACTACATGTATACTTGGCTAGTTTTTGTGTGTTATTTTAAAGTTTCCCATGCCATCTTTCATTGTGGATTGTAATTCTTGAGTGAGTATTATTATAGGACATTTACTTATGAATTATATGGTTTTAAATCCCTTTACCATGATCCCTCTTCATTTATACCTTGCTTCAAAGTTCACATGCCATTAGGAGATGTTTAGGATTTGGTTTTGGTCCTTACTTGCTTCAATATTTGAGTATGCTTTATCATGATGCTTTTGTGATGTATTAAGGTTACTTTTGTGTATTAACCACATGTCTTAGCTTATGACTTCATTTATTTTGATACATAAATTTTTAATGTGGTTAATGTTAAATGCTTTTGATAAAGAACTCTCCTACCAAGAAATATGTTGTTGGCTCCAAAGCTGCAGAAAATCAAAATGTTGTGAATGTGGTTAATGTTGATGAGTTGTCTGACAATGAGCTCATCTCTAATGTGGTTTCTGGAATTGATAAAAGGCTCAAATCCAGGAAAGCGAAGGAGGTAAATATCACACCCCTGCCAAGATAATCAAGAAGAAAACCATGTATGGTCCCCCAAAGCCCGGAAGTATAGTGGTTCCTCCCTCTAACAAAAGAAAAGCTAGACCTGATAGCTCCACAGATGATGATGATGATGATGTTGTAAACAGATTTAAAGGTATGAAGAAAGCTGAATTAGTAGAAGAGGATAACTCTGATTATTATGTCCAGGACATCTCTCCTGTGAAAAAGTCTACAACCCTAACAGTGAAAACCATGTATACTATTACATAATCTTATAAAAGCACTAACAGTGGCAGTCCAACCCTAATTGTTAATCATACATCAATCCTTGTTTGTCCGATAGAGAAGACACTAGAAACATTATAGGATTAAATTATTAATGAAAAACATTTTGATTGCAAATATAAAATGAAGTCATTACAGATTCAAATCCAGAACACCCCCTAGCATTAAGGGATTTAGCTACTCATATTTTTCAAATAAAACAAAAGATAAATTGTAAACATTACAAGTATTAGGGAGAAATTTGATCTTCAATCGCTTCCTTTCATGAAAAATCTCCTTTCACTGAAACCTTCTCTTCTCCAATATTTTCTCCAGTAATTCTTTGCTTCCAAAAAGTTCCTTCATTCCTAGTCAAAACACGTCTAAAAAGAAAAGATCCACTGAAACTGGTCGGAAATTCCCAAAACACTCCCGAAACTTAACCCATGCACTAAATAAAAAAATGAAAATTTGGTGTCATGGGTTGATACGGCCTGTGTCGGGTGAGACGGGTGGCCGTGTTGCGGCCCTGAGTTCCAATTTTTCTGTTCAAGTCCCATACCTCACAACATAGCCCATGTTAGGTAACACGACCGTCGTGTTGTACCATTGAAATCAAATCTTTTGCCATCTTTCTTCAGCGTCAATCCTACTACGGATTTTTCTCGCACTGAGTTTTCTCGATTTATTCCTCTGAGCCTACAAATAGTAAAGCACACAACCAACACATAAAATGTGGAAAAATAAAGTAAAACACTTGAGAATAAAAAGAAACAATCACTAAAATCAACAGCAAAATGATGGTGTAAGAACCATTAGTCAGTAGTATGCATTTATATGTTGACTATTGACAGTTGAACAAAGTTACTATCAAGAACAAGTATCCGCTTTCAAGGATTGATGATTTTATGTGTGATATGGTGGCAGATTCGACTGTTATAATACTTTTGTGTTTTGTGTTTGCAAATGTTGCAGTAAGCAAGAGTTGCCACCGACTTTTCTTTTATCTAAATTAAGGAAATGGTGAAAAGAACAGAAAAATACCTTTTTTGAGATTTCCTGAGTAAGGGGGGTAGATTATGGAAAGGGAAGGTGTTAGCACCCTTTCCATCCTTTGTTTTCCACGAGCTCTTAGATACTTGCTCATTTTTGAAAATTGCTTTCGTGTTTGCATATTTTGAAAAATTTTGTTTGCTTTATGCTAACTCTTGTATCAGTCCTCAAGAGTGTTTATAAAAAATTTTGAAAATGTTTTTGCAAGTATCAGTCCTTAAGAATTATCTACCTACTGCAAAAAGGTGTTCTTTTCCTCCTTTCCTTTAGATAGTGTTATCCTACTATTAGTGAGTAGGTAGCCCTATCGTTGGATGTTGAGAACTATCGAAGGGACGTTTATGATCACTAAGGCAACTGGGAAAGAACTCTTAGTAATTGTCCTAAAGTTCTAAGATCACTTTTTAACCGAAGCAATAGTCGAAAGGGTCATCGAGGGACTTTTGATCTCTTGAACTAAAGACAACCACTAAAAATCCTTACGTTTCGAAAATTATGATTGTTTTTGAAGGCAATCGAAGTGGGAGATACCCTAGAAGTGAGCGTGTGAAAGTGTATTGATTCATTTAATTTATCTTGCGCATTTAGGGTTATCTAACGTTTTCTTTCCAGTCTTTTTCATGCAATCCTATTAATCTAAGCAGCCAATAATTGTGTAGAAAATAAATTGCCGAAAATAAAATTCCTAAGCTATTACAAGGCCTTGTGGAAATTACATAAATAGCACAAGAAAATTAAAATGCGGAATTTTAAACCTAATTAAAGCTATTACAAACCGGGAAACTGTTACATAATGGGAAAAGAAAAGAAAATAGAAAAAGATAAACGCGCGAAGAATCAAGACGGGAACAAGTTGAGAAGTCCTAAAAATCTAATTATTTAATAAGACATTTTTGGTATTTTATCAAGAAAAAGATTTGAAATTTTAACCTAATTTCTAATTAATTTTAATTTAAAGAAAAGAAGTTAAAGTAATTAAATTAACTAATTTTAAAAAATTAATTTCAATTATGCGAAACCTAATTCTAGTGTTTTTGTGATTTTTTTTGTTGATTTTATGATTAAAATAAAAATGGTTTTAAAACAATTAAGTTAAAAATAAATAAATTGAAAACAAAAATAAGAGAATGGGCCTGATGGTGTTAGGAAATTTAGGAGGTGTAGTAGTTGAATTTGATGGGCCCAGATCACACAAGCCCAATTCCTGCATGAGATCTAGTGGTGCTAGCTCCTAGGGGTTCACCATGGAGGGTTGATTGTTGGGGGTTGGATCTGATCTTGTAGTGACTTGATGGATGGGAGCTGGACATGCATGGTGGATGTATTAGGATGCACTTCACTGGATCCTGCAAGAAACGTTAACAAAATTGAAAATGGCGGGACCTAGGATCGAACCCAGGTCCCCTCCTTCGCGCGCTTACACTCTTACCATCTGCGATGCCCATTCATTCATGATTATAACCACTTAATAATATTATATGTGAAACATAGATCAAATCCAGGTCATTAAAAACAAGCACACGCGTTCAATTGCCCCACAAGGTTTTACACAAACCAATCAGATTATATGGGAATGCCACGCATGCCTTCGCCTGGGTTAGAGATGTCAATGATGCTGGAGCTGTACTCCGGTCGTCTTCTCCGACCAAGCAAATCTTCAAACTTGCAAAAAAGTGAGGATTTAACATACACAAAGGACCTTACTCCCCTTGAAATTTACCCAGGAATCCAAATATGGGGTTAGTTTGGTCTGAAGGTCCCTAAATCTGGAATTTCGCAAGCTTCAGTTCGTGATTCTCTACAATGGAATCACATGATTTAAGCCTCAAAGCTTTCATGCGAAACATCCAACCTTCCCTAACTGATGTCCTGAACACAGATCAAAATCATTAAATTTGTCAAACCTTGTTAACCGGTGGTACTTGATCGCGATGATTCGGGATGCTGTGAGCTTTGAGGATGATAGGAATGGACTCCTAAGACCTCTAGGAAGCTGATAAAGTGGTTATATCTCGGGAGGACTAGCTGAATCATTGAAACCACTTGCACTTCTTTGGAAATCTTTTTTTGAAAATTTTCTAGTGCTTTGGGAGGCAGTTGCGCATCTATTTTTTCTTCTGACTTTGTTGTATATATATGATGGAAAACTTAGGTCAACCAATGTGGTTCCTATCTTTTTACATTATGATGAAAATATATGATCTTAATCTTTCCTAAAACATTCCATATTTGATCCAATATCATGCCAATCATATTTTCATGCGTTATTGCCAGCATGTTATGAGTTGTTTGGGCCTCCAATATAATAGAAATCGAAAGCTGACATGCCTCTACAGATCCATTTCCCTTCGAATTTGTTCTCTTAGAAGACTTTAAGCTCCAATTAAAATTACTCAAAGCTTTCCTCATCAGAACATTGTTTCCTTCGAAATCTCTTAACTCTAATTCGAATTGCACCAACTTCAATATCATGGCTCCTTCGATTGAGCCACCCTCTGCTTCGATTGCTTGATTTGAACAAAATCACCCTGTTGTACCCAAAAAATTTCCCTCTCATTTCTCAAAGGATCATCCTAGACCCTCAGGTTTGCTTTTATCCAATTTCAAGCCTGGAATTACAAATTTCCCAAGAAAGTCATTCACAAGGGCAAAATGGTCATTTGCATACTGAAAAGTCAAACTTTGACTTTTGTATCAAAATCAAGTTTCAAGAATCATATTTCACCAAGGCATGAAGTTTGTTTCATCAAGAAAATCAGAAGTCAAGATTTATGTTGAAAAAGTAAAAATTCTAAATACTTAGAAATTTTTCCAAGTGTTTAAGAAATATGATAAATTCAAAACTTCTGGCTAGATTATCACCATGTGCAAGTTGATTCTGGAAGAACTTATAACACAAGAGTTGTAGATCTCAATGAGATCTAAAACATTGTAGAACAAAACTTCTTCTAGAAATACTGGCATTTCAAGTTATATGTCTTCAAAGACACGTCCCTGAAACTTAGACACTTAGTAAATTCTGAGCATTTCCAAATCAGAATTTGTTTACAAGTTTTGGGCCAGTTTTCGCGTAGGCTCAGTCAGAATTTGCAAGAGCAATTCAAAGAGGGCTTACAAATCATGTTATAAGCTTTCTGGAAAGTCTGAGAACTCACTCAGAACATGCTGGAGCAAAGAGATTCAAAGATCAGAAGTTGGATGTTTGTTCTAAGTTGCGCTGATGCTGAACTTCTGAGCCATAATTAAGCTATGATGCATAATCTCGTATTGCAGGATTTCTGGTTTGATAAATCTCATCATCATTTAATGCTCCCAACCACTTTTGAGTTTTTATCCAAATGCCACGTGTGAGATAGAAGTATCATTGTTGTCCTTGAGAAAGTAAACTTTTGTGCAAGAGTATGTTGGGCCCATGCTTTGCTTTTTCTTCTGAGGGTACTTTTCCTTAATTCATGCTTACAATCCCAGCTTAGGCACGGCTAAAAGCTGCTAACCACCATACTTGTTTAACTTGCTTCAAGAACAAGTCAGCACCCTAGCATGATGGTTGTACCCTTGACCTCTCCAAGCTACTAAACCTTTGCCTATAAATTGAACTTCATTGGCAACTGTCAAAAAGGAGGGGATTGAAAAGGAAAAGCTTTGAAACCTTGCTAAAAAATTCCTGAAATCCGAAACTGCAAACACAAATATAAAACCTGCTAGTTTTTGATTTTTGCTTTCAAACGCCATTTTCCTTCAAGTGTTTCTTGACCAAATCATCCATACAGTTTCTGATATACATTTAGTAGCTGTCTTAACTTCTGTTTTCAGACTGTAACATATTATCCATCATTCTCCACCTCAAAAGTCAGAACTTTACTTCTTGGTTGTTCCAGAATTTTCCAGCCACTCATAGCCCAAGTTAAAGTTGTTCCAACTTGCTGAGCACGTGAAGAGGCTGATCAGAACAT